ACCGGCCGCCCCTTGGCCGCCCCGTGCCCTCTCCTGTGTTTTAACTGCATGTGCCTGTCCCTGGTCCTTTCCCAGTTCTGCGAGGAGTTCAAGGAGAAGTGTCCCATCTGCGTGCCCTGCGGGCTGAAGCTGGCAGAGAAGACGCAGACGGCCATCGTCCGGCACTTCGGCCTGCAGATCCTGGAGCATGTGGTCAAGTAAGGCAGCTCATCCTGCTGCCCGTTCGCCTGTGCTGGGGAAGGGTGCCAGCCCGCTGCCATGCAACCGCTGGCATGGGATCTGCTCCTGTCCCGGCGCCTCCCGCTTCAGGACGCAGAGAGTCTGCTCTACAGCAGAGGACAGTTGCTGTCCTGCTCTGTTTCTTTCCTCCTCTGTAAAACCTGGAGCATGTGGTCAAGTAAGGCAGCTCATCCTGCTGCCCGTTCGCCTGTGCTGGGGAAGGGTGCCAGCCCGCTGCCATGCAACCGCTGGCATGGGATCTGCTCCTGTCCCGGCGCCTCCCGCTTCAGGACGCAGAGAGTCTGCTCTACAGCAGAGGACAGTTGCTGTCCTGCTCTGTTTCTTTCCTCCTCTGTAAAAGAAGGAGAGGAAGAAGAGGCAGGTTGGGAAGGTTAATTCACTGAGCTCTAAGACATATTGACATGCAAGATGTAAATAAACACGCAGGGTTATCAGTAGGTCTTTGCAGCATTCTCTGTCATTAGCCTCGTGCTAACAAAGAGGCTTTGTATTCAGTTCTGAGATTCCCCTCTCTGCCGCCTCTGCAGACCTGATGCTTTGTGCTTTTGCTGCTGCTTCTCATCTGTGTTGACCTCAGTAGTGCACACCCATTTGCCAGCAGCAGTTTTAACTCAGCCTTTTTATTAAGAGATTGGGCACTGGCAGAGTCACTAAGCTGTAGTGCCTCTCTCTAGTGTAGGTAAAGAAGTGATGGTTCATTAAGAATCAAGTCAGAGATCTTTATAAATGTTTTGACTTGGTGTCCTTTTTGTTTCTCTCCTTTTTTTTTTTTTTCCCCCTAAATTCTTTTGAACAGGTTCCGCTGGAACAATATGCCTCGCCTAGAAAAGGTTTATCTAAAGAACAATGTCATGGGCCTCATATCCAGTGTAAGTACCTTCTACCCCAGACTGTTCTCTGAAACATGATTCTCTCACTTGGAGATAGAAAGTGGGAGTGAAAGGAAAAAAGACTCCAGTTAATTAGCACAGAGGACCTGAATTCAATTCTTCATTTTGTTACTTTCTTGCTGTACATCCCTGGTTGTTCCAGTGCTTTTCTCTGTCTCGTAGTCAGGTCAATGACCATGTCATCTCACATGGCATGAAATTGTGAGGCTTGTATAACATATATAAGGTACTTTTTGTAGGAGGAAATTCAGTAAATATAGACATTCTTATCCTTTACAGGAATGCTAAGTTATTTTGTGTGGTTTAGAATATTTACAACCACTGTGCTTCCAAGGTCAGAATTATAAATGTCTGATGTTTGCTGTTTTGTATAACTCTGCCGCTCTTCTATTGCAGGGAACTCAAAGTATTCTGGAGGAGGAAAGTCACATTAAGGATGTTCTGTCTCGCATTGTGGTGGAGATGATCAAGCGCGAATGGCCTCAGCACTGGCCTGACATGCTAAAGGAGCTGGATACCCTCTCCAAGCAAGGGGTATGAAACACACCTGTCTGTTCTCTTCTGCTTGCTCATAGTATGGGTTTCAGTCTTCCATCATCCTGAGGAATCCCTAACTCACTCATGGTCAGGTGAGACAGGCTAATGATGGACTCAAAAATCCCTGTAGGATTAAGTTATTCTAAGAGATGATTTTAGCAGAGAGAGGGCCATCTTCCGGTTTTGTTTTCCCAAGGTGTGACTTGTATCTTTATGCATGCTCAGTTTCTCTCTACATCTCTGAGCTAGTTTCTAGAGATTTTACTGTTTGAAGTGTACTGATGGAGTGTATTTCATTTCGGGACATCAGGAAACTCAGACGGAACTGGTGATGTTCATCCTCCTACGTTTGGCAGAGGATGTGGTGACTTTTCAAACTCTGCCTACCCAGCGGCGACGCGATATCCAGCAAACCCTCACCCAGAACATGGAGAAGATCTTCAGCTTCCTACTAACTACCCTACAGCAGAATGTCAACAAGTACAGGCGCATGGTAAGAGTTGCCTTTCCTTGGGTTCAGTCAGTGCTGGAGGCATTTAGGAATTGGGATGCAACTCGCAAGTTGTTGGGGAAGCAAGTGCAGAAACTGTCTGAAATCCGTTGCTGTCGCTGTGAGGTAGGGATCTGCTGTGGTCTGGGAAGCTGGTGCTGATAGAGGGACTGAACACACAAGGTTGACGGGGGTTAGTGTTGATGGATTTGCTAGTGTAAATGGCTTGAGTGGATGCGTGTCTCATCTGTACTGTTGGGATGCTCTGCTGACACTAGGCGTGCGGCTTAGCAAAACGAAGGTGTGATTGTGGCAGAAACGGGTAGATTTGGGTTAGTTTATGTAACACAGTGGTAAAGAGATGCCATCCTGGGCTCGCATTTGCTCTTATGCTGCAGTGGTGTCTTTGTGGTGATGCACCAAAATGCATGAGTTTTTGACGTCTCAGCATTGCAACTGGGCCTCTCTGGTCCTTTTCTTCAAGAGCTCAGGTCAGGAAGCCCTTTTTTTGTCAAGTTGTGGTGAGGAATGCTCTTCCTTTTTGTGTAAAGAGACTTCTTTCCTGAATTCTTACGTAGAGTCAGAGATGCACAGGTTGGTCAAGACGGATGGTGAAGGCAAGTCTCTACCCCAGTCTGTTCCTGTGAGAAGAAAGTGGATTTGAGAGTGAAGCACAACTGAGAAACCAGTCTAGAAATAAGTTGCTTTTAAAATCCCGACTTACACTAAATGTGAAACTGGGAGGGAATGAAAAATCCTCTCCTACCTGACTTCTGCTCATTTTCCTGATGCACTGACAAGCTGAACAAACCCACCTGTAGAGCAGACAGTTCTTTGCATAGTTCTTGGTGGTGGGTGGGAGACCCTGGTGCATTTTGTAGTCTGGTTGAAATGCATTTCCAGGTAAGGTTTGAATTGCAATGCTTGAGGCTCTGAAGTGTGGCTGCTTCTGCTAACGGTGGAATCTTTCTGATTGGCAAGGTTGGAGCACCCCAGGAACAAGAAGCCCTCACCGCTCCACAGGTTAGCAGATCTTTGGGATGTTTGTGCACAGGGTAAATTCTGAGGGTTGGGTGTTCAGTTACCTGTCTGCACACTGAGAGTGGGGGAGATGGTGGACAGTTCCCCAAGACCATAATAATCTGCAGTGCTTATAAGTACGCAGTTCTGGTATGGTGGCTCCATTGTTAAATGTTTGGGACACAACCAGAGTAACTTAAAATCACTGCACTGAATATATTGATGGACAGAGTTTCCAAACCAAAACCTTGCAGCAGAAAGAAATGCTTGTGGTGTCTTTGCATCTGAAAAACAAATCAAAACTTAGTGTCTGAGGGACTCATTTGCATTAGTCAAAAAGATGGTGCAGGCAGTGCATTGCTGCTGTTAAGTGTTTGGAACTGGGGGTCAGGGTGTAAGCTCTTGCCCCAGCTCTCTCTCCAGCTGCCTTTCTGACCATGGACAAGTCACTTACCCTTTTCAGACATCAATCTCAGTACATAAAAGCCACCAGCATCCTTCAGAGTCTGGCTTTTGGATGTAAGGTGCTCTAAAAGGTCAAAAGTTTCTTCCCTGGAAGAAAGGGAAGCACCGAAATGCCTTTCCTTCTTGTCCCCTGTGTCTCCCTGGTGCCTGCTGACTGTGGAGTGTCATCTTTTGGATGAGAAGGAAATTGTGGCTTAACTTGCAATTCAGAGTCCTGCTGTCTTACCTGCCAGGGGGCTGTGGAGGTGGTTATGATGGCTGCAGCAATGTCCTGAGCGGGAGACTGTGTTGCAGCCTCTGTCACTAGGGAGCTGTTCTGTGAAGCTGCTTCTGGCTGCATTCTCGAGAATAAGCCTGTCCAGCAGTGGCTGGGTGGAAGTGTGTGCTGTAGCTGCTCACTTACCATCTCTTGTTTTCTTTTTCAGAAAGCTGATCTGGCTCAGGAGCCAAAGGTGAGTGGAACTATGTGGGAATTAGTGCATTGGTCATTCTTAAGACAGAGATTGCTTAGAACCAGGCTTTTTGCAGGCTTTGGAATCTATTACCTGCAATTCTCATTTACGGATGGGTTTGTTCACCCATACTACAAATTCCTGGAGAAGTGAGGCACAAGTGGAGAAATGCCCAGGCCTTAACTGACATCCTTAGTGAGGGGACCTGGACCCTTCTGCTGCCACCTCACTCTCAGGGTGGTTCCTGATACTGTTCTTCCAGGGAGTGGACAGCTTTATGTGGGAATTGGTGTTTCTCTCTGACTCTGACCTGTCGCCTCCTCTCTGTTCACAGGCCCAGGCAAACTGCCGCGTGGGGATAGCAGCACTCAACACCTTGGCTGGCTACATTGACTGGGTGGCCCTGAGCCACATCACAGCAGACAACTGCAAGCTCTTGGAGATGTTGTGTCTGCTCCTAAACGAACCTGAGCTCCAAATAGGAGCAGCAGAGTGTCT